TGCTGAGGTGCAGCTGTGGGGTGTCGAGGTGATGGCTGGGGTTGGTGGCTGTGCCCCATGGGTTTCTGAGGGTGCTTCTGGAAGGTAACAGTGTGTTTTGGGTTTTCTTCCCCCTGCAGAGGATGTCACACCCATCCCCTCCGACAGCACTCGCAGGAAGGGTGGTCGCCGTGGACGTCGTCTGTAAACAGCGCTGCACCTTCTGTTTATTAAAGCTCTCTTAAACCTCTGCTCAGCTGTGTTTTCTTACTGGGGTGTGCCGGACTTCCGTGTAATTCCATCCATGGATGGCTTGGGCTCTGGAGCTTGGCCTCTGGGTTGGGGGGGATGTTGGGGGTGAACTAGGCTGGCTGATCCAAAGCCATGGTGGGTCTTGGGCTTCGTAGCAAAAGCTTCTTGGATACTTGTGCTTTCAAACTGAGTCGTGATCTCTTGGAGGTGTCCTTGCCACGGGAAAAAAGGCTGGGCTGGGAGTGGGAAACTACTGCTGCGTTTTCTGCAAAATGCTGCTTAATTCATCACTTCCCCTTTCTGTGGAAAAAAATCCCCTGCCTGTGCAGATGTTCCTAAGCCAGCATTTCCTTTGGCACAGCCATAGTGCTTTATTTGTTGTTTTTTATGCGGCCATGGAAAATTCTAGAATAAACTTCCCCTGCTGTCCTAAAAGTGCACTGTTTGCCGCTCAAATCGCTGTTTTCCTGTACTTAAAGTCTTCTTTGAACTCTGTGTTGAGAACGTGCTGAAAACACGAAACCAGCAGCAGCTCAGCCAACATGGAGCTGAACAGAGGAGGGGACAGGTCGGGAGTGCAGGGAGTGGGACTGTGTGTGTGTGACCAACAGCTCCAGTCAGTGGTTTTTTAATAAACTCTTGAACACAGTGAAAACTGTTGCTGTGTGTTGCTCCATCCCCGGGGATATTGGTGTGGCTGCTCCCCGGGGCACGTTTGGGGAGAACTCTACAGCAATAACGAATCCAAGGCAGGACCTTTGTGGCAGCACAAACAACTCATCTCTGGGTGCAGTTTGAGTTCCTCTCCCCTCTGCTGCCCACCCAGGCCCGGCAGGGCCGCCCAGGTCCGGGCCATTTCAGCCCTGCTGGTTTTAAGGGCAGATGTAGAAGTGGGACGATGTCTGCTCCACATGAAGGTGGATTTGCTCTATTAATCCTTGGAAACTGGAGCCCTGCTGTGTGCCCAGGGATGGCTGAGCCACTGTACACCCAACCCGCCCTGTGCCATTTGGTGCCCTGGACATGATGTGCCCTGGGCAGGCTGCTCCCTGGGCTTGCTGCTCAATTAATGGCAAAAATACCTTTGATTTCTTGGCAGACCTGACGTCTTTGAAATGGCTTCCTGCATCGGTGTGTAACCACCAGGGGGGAAATGCTGAAAGAGGAAGAGAAACCGGAGATCCAGCACCGAGTGGCTGCCTGGCATGTCACCTTTCTGGAGAAAAAGACCCTCCTGTCAGTGTGGCATGGATGGCTCCCATGGCTCTTGGCAGTCCCTGTCCTCACCCAGGTGGTTGTCTCGGGTGATTCAGTGAGGAACTGCATCACCTGCAACCCCCCTGTAGCTGGGTGATGGCTCCTGGGCTGCATGGGGGTGGGATGTGTGTGCCTGCCCACTCTGTGCCTCCCCAGCAGGGATGCTCATCCTGCCGAGGGCATGGGGCTGCTCAGGGGCTGTGCTCCCCTCCCACACACAGTCTGTGGCCACTGGTGAGCCCTCTGGCTCAGCCCTTCCCCTTCAGTTTGCCCAGGGCCAAACCTGAGCTGTTGAAGGTGTGGCCTTAGGGGCAGTGGGAAATGTGGGTCTGTTCCCCAGACCTTATTCTGTGCAGGGTCTGGGGGCTGAGAGCTGTGAGACGAGGCCCAGCTGGTGATGAATGGCTTCCTGGGAATGCACCTGGGTTATTCCAACTGCCTGCCTCAAATAATTGCTCTGCCGGCCTGGTCCTCAGCAGGTCTGAGCCCAATCCTGGGACCACTCCTCTCTCCAGATGGCTTTTTTTTCCCCGAAAAAGACAACTGGTTCCTCAGCTTCCTGTAATGGTGCTTGTTGAGTTTTTGGCAGCACCAAACACAAAGCCTTGGGGTAACAGGGTGGTGAGGAGCCAGTGCCAGCCTTGTGCAAGGGGGGAATGAGGAGGGTCAGACAGGATGGGAGCTGCTCTCTGAAAGGGTCTGCATCTTCCCTGGAAAAATCAATTTACAAACTGGAAACACTGGATGCCACAGCCACGGGCAGAAAGCGTGTGTGGGGGTGTGAAGAACTGAAGAGTTGATGGGGAGTGTCTGTGTGTGTAGTGGGGGTTGGCTTTGTGCTGACCGTGCCCGTCTGGGCTGGGGCTTGGGGGGCTCAGCCTGCCGGGGGAACAGGGCCCTCCCCCACCCCCAGGTTATCACCCACGTCTGTGGTTTGCAGAGCCAGGCCCAGCTCCATGGAATCGCTGGGGTTTCACTTTCAAAGTTCCTGTTCAGACTCTTTCTGGTTCCCCTTTGGGCTGAGGCTGCTCACGGAATGTGCCTGGATCGTGGCCTCGAGGCAGGAGTTGTGGCCCAAATGAGGAGCTGAGTGAGGTCTGGACCCTCGAGGAAAAACCCGTGTGTCTCCCAGAACCCCCAGTGCCCACAAGGAGAGAGACAAAAAATTTATGGAAAGCTTTTATGTTCTATTTCCTTTTTATTTAGCTTTCTTTTCCTCCTCCCCCCCCCGCCCCCTTTTCTTTCCTCTTTTTTCCCTTTTCTCTCAGTTTTCTCTCCCTTTTTATTTTCTTTTCAAACACCTCTGATGGTTTCTCAGTACAGCTTTATCACTGGTAACCTGGGGTGAGGCTGATGGACCCTCCTGGGCTGGTGCTTCATGCACCCCTGGGTGCCCAGGGCTTTCCCAGCTGGGTCACAGGAGCCTGTGGGTGGGACACCAGGCTCCAGGCACCTAAGCCCTTCTACAGTGGGGCTGCAATTTCCCACGTGGGAAGCCAGAGCATTGTCCCACCATGCCTCCTCCGGGAAGAGCAACTGCCAGGAAACCCTGCCCTGCTCCCTGGAAACGCTCCATGACCATCCCTTTCCCTGCTCTCCAGGCACAGCCAGGGCTGGCAGCATGCCCCTCCAGCCAGGTGCCTCAGGACTGACCCAGGAGAACGAGTGGCTGAACCAGCCCCAGCAGGTTTGCCAGGTAATCAGTGGTGTTTGGCTTTTAGTTCCTCATGCACAGTTTCACTTTTGCCTGAGCCCTGGGCACGGTGGAGCTGGATCCTGACTCTGGAGCTGGCTCTGTGCTGGCACGGTGTGACTCTGGCTCAGTGTGGGCACTGGGGGTGTGTTACCCCTGGCACTGCTCTGGGACCTTGAATAAAATCACCAAGCCTCAGCATTATGCTGTGGGTGGCTGCTTCTGCCCATGTAGCACTTCCAGGGCTGTTGGGAGGGCTGGGAATCCCCGGTGCTTCACTCCCACTGGTGCTTTGGGGTCGCTCACCTTGAGGGGCTGCTCCTCCTCACTTGGCTTTGGGGGTTCAGCCTCCAGAAGCTGCTGCAGGCAAAGCAAGGAGGGCTGGAAAGCACTTAGTCCTTGACTTGTTCCCCCTCACCCTGAGAAGTGCTGGCCAGGGGGGGTCTGAAGTGACCCTCAACCCGGGGTTTGAGCCAAAGTGCAGTTTTTCCCCAGTAGCAAAGGTCGGTGAGGAGGGGTGTACCCTGACAGTGTGTCCACACGGGGGTTCTGCTCTCAGTCTTGGCTGTGGGGTCTGTCCCCATGGTGTCCCACGCCTGATAACCCACCTCTGGACCCCACTTCCTTCTTCGCACATTGTCTTTCACCTCCCCCATCCCAACAGCACATCCCGTTTCTCACCCCCTGCCACCCCCCCCCCATATACCACCTCCTGCCCCCTCCCAGGGGTACCAGAACCCCCAGACCCATGTCACTGATGTCACCAGGCTGGGCACTGTGACCTGCCCGTGGCGTGGGGTGGGCAGCGATGCCCCCACTGAGCGGCCGCGGTGCTCAGCGTCGAGTCCAGCGTAAACTCTGTACTGGAGACCTGTGGAGCAGAGCTCTGCCCGGCAACAAGTGATGCAAGTGCCAGCAGCCAATGGGATTTTTTTTTTTTACTCCCCCCCCCGCGTGTCAGGGCAGGGTGGGGACCGGAGGGTATTTCCAGGGGCAGAGCTCGGGGTCCTCATTTCCATCGGGGAGCCCACCGGAGCCATGGCCGAGGAGCAGCGGGACCTCATCTCTGACCGCGGCAGCGCCGTGCTCAGCGTTGGGAACACCCAGAGGTGCCACTGCCGGGGGGCAAGGGGTGGGGGGCACGGGGAGGGCAAAGTGGGCACAAGTGGGGACCTGGGACAGGGGGGTCATTGCGTGGGTGCGGGATGGAAGGGGACACAGTTGGGCCAAGGGGGTACAGAGTGACTACGGAGCAGAAGGTGGGGGGCACGGGGTGGCTATGGGGCACTGTGGAGCCAAGGGGGCTGTGGAAGGGGCCAGAACGTGGCTGTGAGGCAGGAAGGGACACGGGGAGGATATCAAATGGGTGGGGCACAGTGTGGCTGTGGGACAGGGGGGACATGGAGTGGCTATGGGATGGAGCGGGAGTTGGGTGGCTATGGGATGGGGGGGCATTGGGTGGCTATGGGGCTGAAGGGGGTCACTGTATCTCTGAGGCAGTTGGGGACAAGTCATGGTGATGGGGCGGACAGGCTCAGCGTGGCTGTGGGGCACAGAGCCATGGCTTGAACCTGTGGGGGAGGCAGCACGGCTATGGGACAGGCTGTGGGACAGGCAAGCTGGTGACGTGGCTATGGGGCAGGCGCTGGCCCTGTCCCAACTGGCTCTTTGGGGCCCGCCATCCCATTGCCACCGCGTGTCCCAACTCGTCCCTCTGTCCCAACCCCCGCGGGGGGCAGCCCCCCGCCAAAACTTCCAGCCAATCAGAATCCCGGGAGCTGTGACATCACCAGTCTCCGGGCAGACACCCCCGCAGCGCTGTCCCGTTCGGGACATGTCCCTCGGCCGGGCAGTGCCCGCTCCCCGTCGGGCAGCGCAGCCAGGGGGTGGCCTCTGGAGCACCGCTGCACCCCTATAGTGCCACATGCACCCGGCGGGGCAGCATCTGGCACAAAATTTTAAAAATTAAGTGCTGTCCGGCATCCCATGGGCTGTGTCCTCTGCCTCAGGAATCAGCGAAGATTCAGGTGGCTTCATAATCCCGCAAAAGACGATGCCCAGAGTGATATTGTGCCCCAAAGTCCCCTGGCAGTCCCCTGTCCGCACCTAAATGTGCCCACGTGCCCCTCGGCACCCCTCCCGTGCCCCCCCCCCTCCCGCCCCCACAGTGAGTTTCAGTTCCTGGTGTGACCTTCACGCTGAGTTTTCACTTCTGCACCCTGCAGTGGGGCAATTTGCATTTGTCTGGCTGCAACCCCCCTCCCCCGGGAAGGGCGTGTTTGGGGCGGGGACAGGGTGATGGCAGAGGATCATCTGAGCTCCCTGTCCGTGCCCCGCAGGTCGGTGTTGGGACGCAGAGCCGGCCTCTCCGCACTCTCCATCCTGGTGGCCCTGCTGATTGCTGGCCAGGCCGTCACCATCTACTTCGTGTACCAGCAGAGCGGGCAGATCAGCAAGCTGACCAAGACCTCCCAGACCCTGCAGCTGGAGGCTCTGCAGAGGAAGCTGCCTGCCAGTCAGTAGCCCCGTGGGCTCCAGTGTGGTGGTGGGGGGTGTCCAGGGAGAGGGGACAGGTTCCCTCTGGCCCACCCAGCCCTGCTGGTGCCCCTCACGGTGCTCTTTCCTCACCAGGTGCCAAGCCGGTGAACAAGATGAAGATGGCCATGGTGAACACCCCACTGGTCATGAGGGTCATGCCTGCTGCCCCCCTTGCAGACCTTCCAGTAAGAGAGTTTCACCACTGCTTGGCACTGCCTGCTGCCCTCAGGGCTTGCTGCCGTGCTCACACTACTCCTTTGCTTTTTCTCTCAGGCCATGGCCCCCGCTAGCAACAAAACCGAGGACCTCGTGAAGCACCTGCTGCTGGTAAGGTCCCCTGCACCCCTACTCGCCCTGCAGCTGCCCCCCTGCACTGGTCTGGGGTCTCTTGGGGTGCTGGTGGGAGCTCCTGGCCTCCTGCAGCATCTATCTGGATGATTTCAGCACATGCCCACCTCATTTTTCTTTGCCCTGTCTCACCGTGGTCGTTTCTTTGCAGCAAGCAGACCCTGGGAAGACGTTCCCGGAGCTGAAGGACAGCTTTCTGGACAACCTGAAGAGACTGAGAAACACCATGGCTCACACAGACCTGAAGGTCAGTGCTTGCTGCCGTCCTACTCTTCCCCATCCAGGAGTCCCCTGCTTGGGGGAGGGACTGGAATGTCCCCACCTGGAAAAACAAAGGCCTGCTTGAGCCAGGCTTGGGCTACTCCCCCCATGCCCATTAATGTGCTGGTCCCTCACCTTCCCTTGCCAAGCTGGAGCTCGATGCACAGCTCCCCTGGGGTGAACTGCCCCCATGCCCATTAATGTGCTGGTCCCCCTCATTGCAGTCCATGGAGTCCTGGATGTACAACTGGCTGCTGTTTGAGATGGCCAAGAACCCCAAGTCGGAGGAGAACAAGGGAATCCCGGCAACTAAAGGTATTGGGGATGGGGCTGCTGAGCTGTGGAGGGTCAGGGAGGTGTTGGCATGGGGCATCCCACAGGGAGCCAAGCCCTCCCTCTGGTCATGGTCCTGTTCATTCCGTGGGGAGCCTCTGCTTGGTGGCCTATAGGACATCACAGAGCACCTCTGTCTGCTGCATGCAGGGCATTTGGGGTGAACAAAAGGCTGAACACAAATCCTCCACCCCTGGCTAGCCCAAGAGCTTGAGAAAGGTCACGGGGCTGGGGCTTGTTCACCTTTAAATTAAACTGCTTCTGGGTAGAATCTCCTGCTGAGGCTGCTGAGGGGGAGAAGGGCCTGGGAGGCTGACGGGATCTCCCCTCTGTTTCTGTTGCCCTAGTGCAAACTAAGTGCCAGGCCGAGGCCAATTTTGGGGGTGTCCATCCAGGCCAGTTCCGCCCACAGTGCGATGAGAACGGTGACTACCTGCCCAAGCAGTGCCATTTCTCCACTGGCTTCTGCTGGTGCTGCTACAAAAACGGCACCAAGATTGAGGGCACTGCTACTCGGGGAAAGCTGGACTGCTCCGGTAGGTTGCCAGGGAGGGGAAGGAGAGGAACGAGCAGTAGGCAAGGACTGCTTGGGATTAGGGAGGAGGAGAGCTAGGAGAGGAGAGGAGAGGGATACATGCTGTAGGGAGCACCCCTCTGGTGCCAGCACGTCAAGAGTAGAGGGGACCCTTAAAACCACAGCCACCCCAGGTCTCTGCAGGTGGAGCTAAGGTGTGCAGACAGGGTTTTCCATGAGCCCCCCTTATCCCCAGCCCACAGCCCAGCAGGGGGTGCAGCCTCTCCCCCACTGCCCTCAGAGGGATGGGGCGTGATGGGGCAGCCCTGGGGTCCAGCACCCATATCCTGCCCTCCCTTTGCAGGGGCTGCTGGTCCCACCAGTGCAGCTGCCATCCCGGATCCGGATGAGATGATCTTCTCCGGGGTGGACACACTCAAGCTGAATGCAGAAAAACGTGAGTGTCCAAGTGCAGTCCAGGACCGGGAAGGGGAGCTCCTGGGGGAGCACCAAAGCACTGCTGGGGAGGTTGTGATGGAGACAGGGGTTTTATTTGATCCTTGAGCTGTCCTGCTGACTACCTCCTCTTTTTCCCCCACAGCAGAGTAGAAGATGCCAGCAGTTGCCTCCAGCATCCCAGCTCCTGTCTGGTTTTTTTCCCCTGTTTCTTTTCTGCGCTTACATTGCTGACCTTTCCCCCGCTGCAGAACACCAGCTGGGTCTGAGCTGCCACGACTATCAGTGCTAGAGAGAAAGTGTCCCCTCAGAGGGTGGGTAAAGCAGGCTGGAAAATGATTTAGTGCTAGAGA